TGTCTCAATGTCTTTCTTACCCTTCTTAATAATGGTGGGAATCAGTATGTGGACCTTAACCTGAAGATGACCTGCTAGTATTGTCATGGCAGTATCGTATGGCTATGACAGGGTTAAGGCCAATCATAAAAGCACCAAGTCAGTTAGTCTTTGACTTAAAGTTAATTTAATCCACCCACAAGAGGAAGTAAATTAAACAGTTATTCATGATAAAAGGGTATAAGTTCAGGTTTTGGTTAAGCAGCATATAAATTCAAAATCAACAGTTATTATTTAAGGTGACTAGTTAGTAGGTTATAATTTTATCAGAAAATATCTTCTATTACTAAGCTGTTAAGCAAAACAAAGAAATTTTATTTTTGAAATGTACATAATTGCTACAGTACAAAATAAGGTGACATATATTTTATACATTTTTGGAAAGCCCCTGGTTACACAAAGAAACATGGGCAGAATACAACTAGAATTTTAAAGTAGATGATATTTTTTTTAACATGCTGGCTGTCTCCCACCGAGGCAGGGTGATCCAAAACAGAAACACTTTCACCACCATTCACTCTATCACTATTTTGCCATAGGCATTCAGATACGACAGTTTAGATGTCACTCTAAACAACAAATATCCCAAACCCTTCCTTTAGAATGCAGACACCCCAAAAGTTTTGTATAGAAGGGACTCAGAGGTGGCATATTTCATTGTTCTTGACGGGTTTCCCTGTCATATTTCATTGTTCTGGACGGGTTTCCTTGCCATATTTCATTGTTCTAGACTGGTTTCTCTGTCATATTTCATTGTTCTGAACGGGTTTCCCTGTCATATTTCATTGTTCTAGACGGGTTTCCCTGTTATATTTTAATGTTCTGGACGGGTTTCCTTGCCATATTTTATTGTTCTAGACGCGTTTCTCTGTCATATTTCTGGTCGGAAGACAGAGGGAAAAGGTGCTAAGGGACTTGTCTTGAATTATTATTATTATTATTATTAGTAGTAGTAGTAGTAGTAGTATTTTTACTTGGTTGAGGCTTTAGGGAGCTGACAAAATTTAAGGTGGCTTAGTTTACCCCTTGGTGTTGCTTCTGTTTGAATGGTAAATTTAATATAATTAAGTTAAGATAATTTTAATTAATATACTATATAAAAACAGGTAGGTAGTAGGTTGGTAGACAGCAACCACCCAGGGAAGTACTACCGTCCTGCCAGATGACTGTGAAACAGAAACCTGTAACTGTTTTGCATGATGGTAGGATTGCTGGTTTCTTTTTCTGTCTCATAAACACGCTAGATAACAGGGATATCTTGCTACTCCTACTTACACTTTGGTCACACTTCACAGACACGCACATGCATATATATATACATACATCTAGGTTTTTCTCCTTTTTCTACATAGCTCTTGTTCTTCTTTATTTCTTCTATTGTCCATGGGGAAGTGGAAAAGAATTTATCCTCCGTAAGCCATGCGTGTCGTATGAGGCGACTAAAATGCCGGGAGCAATGGGCTAGTAACCCCTTCTCCTGTAGACATTTACTAAAAAAGAGAAGAAGAAAAACTTTATAAAACTGGGATGCTTGAATGTGCGTGGATGTAGTGCGGATGACAAGAAACAGATGATTGCTGATGTTATGAATGAAAAGAAGTTGGATGTCCTGGCCCTAAGCGAAACAAAGCTGAAGGGGGTAGGGGAGTTTCGGTGGGGGGAAATAAATGGGATTAAATCTGGAGTATCTGAGAGAGTTAGAGCAAAAGAAGGGGTAGCAGTAATGTTGAATGATCAGTTATGAAGGAGAAAAGAGAATATGAATGTGTAAATGCAAGAATTATGTGGATTAAAGTAAAAGTTGGATGCGAGAAGTGGGTTATAATAAGCGTGTATGCACCTGGAGAAGAGAGGAATGCAGAGGAGAGAGAGAGATTTTGGGAGATGTTAAGTGAATGTATAGGAGCCTTTGAGCCAAGTGAGAGAGTAATTGTGGTAGGGGACCTGAATGCTAAAGTAGGAGAAACTTTTAGAGAGGGTGTGGTAGGTAAGTTTGGGGTGCCAGGTGTAAATGATAATGGGAGCCCTTTGATTGAACTTTGTATAGAAAGGGGTTTAGTTATAGGTAATACATATTTTAAGAAAAAGAGGATAAATAAGTATACAAGATATGATGTAGGGCGAAATGACAGTAGTTTGTTGGATTATGTATTGGTAGATAAAAGACTGTTGAGTAGACTTCAGGATGTACATGTTTATAGAGGGGCCACAGATATATCAGATCACTTTCTAGTTGTAGCTACACTGAGAGTATAAGGTAGATGGGATATAAGGAGAATAGAAGCATCAGGGAAGAGAGAGGTGAAGGTTTATAAACTAAAAGAGGAGGCAGTTAGGGGAAAGATATAAACAGCTATTGGAGGATAGATGGGCTAATTAGAGCATAGGCAATGGGGTCGAAGAGGTATGGGGTAGGTTTAAAAATGTAGTGTTAGAGTGTTCAGCAGAAGTTTGTGGTTACAGGAAAGTGGGTGCAGGAGGTAAGAGGAGCGATTGATGATGTAAAGAGAGTAGTAAGGGAGAAAAAGTTAGCATATGAGAAGTTTTTACAAAGTAGAAGTGATGCAAGGAGGGAAGAGTATATGGAGAAAAAGAGAGAGGTTAAGAGAGTGGTGAAGCAATGTAAAAAGAGAGCAAATGAGAGAGTGGGTGAGATGTTATCAACAAATTTTGTTGAAAATAAGAAAAAGTTTTGGAGCGAGATTAACAAGTTAAGGAAGCCTAGAGAACAAATGGATTTGTCAGTTAAAAATAGGAGAGGAGAGTTATTAAATGGAGAGTTAGAGGTATTGGGAAGATGGAGGGAATATTTTGAGGAATTGTTAAATGTTGATGAAGATAGGGAAGCTGTGATTTTGTGTATAGGGCAAGGAGGAATAACATCTTGTAGGAGTGAGGAAGAGCCAGTTGTGAGTGTGGGGGAAGTTCGTGAGGCAGTAGGTAAAATGAAAGGGGGTAAGGCAGCCGGGATTGATGGGATAAAGATAGAAATGTTAAAAGCAGGTGGGGATATAGTTTTGGAGTGGTTAGTGCAATTATTTAATAAATGTATGGAAGAGGGTAAGGTACCTGGGGATTGGCAGAGAGCATGCATAGTTCCTTTGTATAAAGGCAAAGGGGACAAAAGAGAGTGCAAAAATTATAGGGGATAAGTCTGTTGAGTATACCTGGTAAAGTGTATGGTAGAGTTATTATTGAAAGAATTAAGAGTAAGACAGAGAATAGGATAGCAGATGAACAAGGAGGCTTTAGGAAAGGTAGGGGGTGTGTGGACCAGGTGTTTACAGTGAAACATATATAAGTGAACAGTATTTAGATAAGGCTAAAGAGGTCTTTGTGGCATTTATGGATTTGGAAAAGGCGTATGACAGGGTGGATAGGGGGGCAATGTGGCAGATGTTGCAGGTGTATGGTGAAGGAGGTAGGTTACTGAAAGCAGTGAAGAGTTTTTATGAGGATAGTGAGGCTCAAGTTAGAGTATGTAGGAAAGAGGGAAATTATTTCCCAGTAAAAGTAGGCCTTAGACAAGGATGTGTGATGTCACCGTGGTTGTCTAATATATTTATGGATGGGGTTGTAAGAGAAGTAAATGTGAGGGTCTTGACAAGAGGCGTGGAGTTAAAAGATAAAGAATCACACATAAAGTGGGAGTTGTCACAGTTGCTCTTTGCTGATGAGACTGTGCTCTTGGGAGATTCTGAAGAGAAGTTACAGAAATTGGTGGATGAATTTGGTAGGGTGTGCAAAAGAAGAAAATTAAAAGTGAATACAGGACAGAGTAAGGTTATGAGGATAACAAAAATATTAGGTGATGAAAGATTGGATATCAGATTGGAGGGAGAGAGTATGGAGGAGGTGAATGTATTCGGATATTTGGGAGTGGACGTGTCAGCGGATGGGTCTATGAAGGATGAGGTGAATCATGGAATTGATGAGGGGAAAAGGGTGAGTGGTGCACTTAGGAGTCTGTGGAGACAAAGAACTTTGTCCTTGGAGGCAAAGAGGGGAATGTATGAGAGTATAGTTTTACCAACGCTCTTATATGGGTGTGAAGCATGGGTGATGAATGTTGCAGCGAGGAGAAGGCTGGAGGCAGTGGAGACGTCATGTCTGAGGGCAATGTGTGGTGTGAATATAATGCAGAGAATTCGTAGTTTGGAAGTTAGGAGGAGGTGCGGGATTACCAAAACTGTTGTCCAGAGGGCTGAGGAAGGGTTGTTGAAGTGGTTCGAACATGTAAAGAGAATGGAGCGAAACAGAATGACTTCAAGAGTGTATCAGTCTGTAGTGGAAGGAAGGTGGGGTAGGGGTCGGCCTAGGAAAGGTTGGAGGGAGGGGGTAAAGGAGGTTTTGTGTGCGAGGGGCTTGGACTTCCAGCAGGCGTGCATGAGCATGTTTGATAGGAGTGAATGGAGACAAATAGTTTTTAATACTTGACGTGCTGTTGGAGTGTGAGCAAAGTAACATTTATGAAGGGGTTCAGGGAAACCGGCAGGCCGGACTTGAGTCCTGGAGATGGGAAGTGCAGTGCCTACACTCTGACGGAGGGGTGTTAATGTTGCAGTTTAAAAACTGTAGTGTAAAGCACCCTTCTGGCAAGACAGTGATGGAGTGAATGATGGTGAAAGTTTTTCTTTTTCGGGCCACGCTGCCTTGGTGGGAATCGGCCAGTGTGATAATAAAAAATTAATAAAAAAAATAAAAACAGCAATGTAGCAATGTTAATATGAAGAGATAATACAGGAATATAAAATTAGACAATTTTATTCATAATTATAGGGGGAAGAAATATAGCAGTGACAATAAGTGCATGAGTATGACTGCTGATTGTAATCTGAATAAGGTAAAGAGAGAAAAAAAAAAGACAGACAAAACAGAAAAAACTGACACAAAATAGGTAATACAGATAATGAAAATGAGAGAAAGAGAGAGACATTAATGAGAAATAATGTTCAACTCACCCTGTATGCTCTCACTGAAATGGGAGAAGATGGGAGACTTTGTGACAGACTCGATCCTTTTGAGCTGGCGAGAGGTGGCCACGAACACGTGTTGGATGAAGCAGTATAGACACATGATGGGCAAGATGAAGACAGAGGCAATGGGTGTAGCTGCTATAATCACCACCATTGTCATCACCACCTGCATTATGAACTCGGGAGTCATGTATTCTATATGTTATTTTTTTTTTTTTACCTCAACAGCCAACTTCCACCAAGGCAGAATGATACAAAAAAGGAAAAATTTACATTATTATTATTATTATTACTGTATTAATAGGGAAGCACTACTCCCATAGGTGTTCCTCGTGTCCACTTCACGCTATGCAAAAACTCAAAGCACATAAAAGGCCCTAAAATCTGGAATTCATTACCTGTGAATATAAAAGAAACACTGTCTGTTTATAAATTCAAGTCTTTTCTCAAAAATCACTTACTCACCCACAACTAAATAAATACTGAATAATTGTATCACATAAATTGTATCTCATAAATGTTTCTCATTATTGTACAGTGGACCCCCGGTTTGCGATATTAATCCGTTCCTGAGAGCTCATCGTAAACCAAAATTATCGAAAAGCGAATCAATTTTCCCAATAAGAAATAATGGAAATCAAATTAATCTGTGCAAGACACCCAAAAGTATAAAAAAAAAATTTACCACATGAAATATTAAGTTTAATGCACACAAACTGAACAAGACATGCACAGTTTGTAGTATGTACTCTACTAACAATAGAATACATGACACTTACATTTAATGAAGATCTGGTGATGACTGATGGGATGGGAGGAGGGGAGAGTGTCGACATTGTTAATGTTTATAAGGGGAATTCCCTTCCATTAGAACTTGAGGTAGCAATTCCTTTTCTGGGGTTACTTCCCTTCTTCTTTTAATGCCACTAGGACCAGCTTGAGAGTCACTGGACTTCTGTTGCACAACATATCTGTCCATAGAGGCCTGTACCTCTCGTTCCTTTATGACTTTCCTAAAGTGGTTCACAACAGTGTTATTGTACAGGTTACAACACGGCTTGCAGTAGCTGTGTTAGGGTGATTTTCATCAAAAAAGCTTTGCACTTCAAGCCACTTTGCACACATTTCCTTAATCTTTGAAGTAGGCAAGTTCTTCAATTTCTCTATCCCCTCCTCCGAAGCAGTTTCCTCAGGTCTGGCCTCTTGCTGTTGAAGATGATCTAGCAGCTCATCAGTGGTTAGTTCTTCATTGTCCTCCTCCACCAACTCTTCCACATCCTCCCCACTAACCTCCAACCCCAAGGACTTCCCCAATGTCACAATGGATTCCTCAACTGGCATAGGATTCCCAGGGTTAGCCTCAAACTCTTCGAAATCCCTTTTGTCTACACATTCTGGCCACAGTTTTTTCCAGGCAGAGTTCAAGGTCCTCTTAGTCACTCCCTCCCAAGCCTTACCTATAAGGTTTATACAATTGAAGATATTAAAGTGATCCTTCCAAAACTCTTTTAGAGTCAATAGAGTGTCTGTGGTTACTTCAAAGCACCTTTCAAACATAGCTTTTGTGTACAGTTTCTTGAAGTTGGAAATGACCTGCTGGTCCATGGGCTGCAGGAGAGGAGTGGTATTAGGAGGCAAAAACTTGATCTTAATGAAGCTCATGTCCCCAGAAAGTCGCTCTGCCAAGTCTGTAGGATGACCAGGGGCATTGTCTAATACCAGGAGGCACTTAAGGTCTAATTTCCTTTCAATTAGGTAATTTTTCACATTGGGGGCAAATGCATGGTGTAACCAGTCATAGAAAAAGTCCCTAGTGACTCATGCCTCACTGTTTGCCCTCCACAGCACACACAAATAAGCCTTGAGGATATTCTTTTGCCTGAACGCTCTGGGAGTTTCTGATACACCAATAAAGGCTTTACTTTGCAATCACCACTAGCATTGGCACACATCAGAAGAGTAAGCCTGTCTTTCATAGGCTTATGTCCTGGGAGTGCCTTTTCTTCCTGAGTAATGTAGGTCCTGCTTGGCAATTTCTTCCAAAACAGGCCTGTTCTGTCACAATTAAACACTTGTTCAGGTTTCAAGTCTTCACTGTCTATGTAATCCTTGAATTCCTTCACATATTTTTCAGCTGCTTTTTGGTCCAAACTGGCAGCCTCACCATGCCTAGTCACACTATGTATGCCACTACGATTCTTAAATCTTTCAAACCAACCTTTGCTAGCCTTAAATTCATTCACATCACCACTAGTTGCAAGCAATTTCTTTACCAAATCGTCATGCAACTGCCTAGCCTTTTCACAAATGATTGCTTGAGAGATGCTATCTCCTGCTATCTGTTTTTCATTTATCCACACCAATAACAGTCTCTCAACATCTTCTAACACTTGCGGTCGCTGTTTCGTAATCACAGTTGCACCTTTTGCAACAACAGCTTCCTTGATTGCCATTTTCCTGCTCACTATAGTAGAGATGGTTGATTGGGGTTTTGTATACAACCTGGCCAGCTCCGACACACGCGCTCCACTTTCGTACTTTGCAATTATCTCTTTCTTCATTTCAATAGTCATTAGCACCCTTTTTCTCGAAGGGTTGGCACTAGAAGCTTTCTTGGGGCCCATGGTGACTTATTTTGCAGAAAGAAGCACCAAAAACACTGTGATAATATGGAATGTACCGAATGTATCCTTAGATGTGAGCACACTGGCTGGCTTGTAAACACTGGCACACACGGGGCAGTTCAGGCCACACGTGGACACGTCTCGGAAAAATCGCATATAATGGGTTTTTTAACGGGAACCGAGGCAAAAATTTTTTGTTAAAATGCATCGAATACCGGATTAATCGGATACCGATGGCATTGCAAACCAGGGGTCCACTGTATCTAATAAATGTCTAACCTGTGACCCAATCAAACTTTGTTATTATTTTTAATTACATTACCTAACAGAATACTCCATTCTACTGAATGCACAGCAACACAGTAAATGACCATAGGACCTGTCTTTGTAATACTCATTTGTGCTAAATTGTTATCTGTTTACAATAATGTTTTTACCACTGAATATATCATTGCTTAGTTAATCTTAAGTTAATTTTAAGCCTGCCCATAATGCTCTGCCTAAAAGGGGCTTTGGCATGTTGCACTTTAATAACTGTATTCCTTTGTACTTCTCTGTACCATGTTCAAATTAATAAATAAAAAAAAATAAATAGGAGGGAATCAAATGTGATCTAAGGATAGGGAGGGCAACTCCAATTCCTTGGATCAGGAGACCTTCACCAGCATCAAGGCATTTCCTTGAATGGACATACATCTTCAAGTTAGTTGCATATACACAATACTGGAAGAAGTGGTTGTCTTATGAAAGCATTGTCATTTTACTGAACTTTTTAAGGCAGTTACATGCCACATCCAACTAAATTTAATCAATCTGGCCAAGTGATGTCAGCCTAACCTTCAGAACTTGTATGAAGCCATCTAGACAATGATAATGTCTCAATGCACACTTCAATGAAAAATGTGCAGTGTACCTGAAGGTTTCTTCTGATGACTATACAAGTCCTTGGGTGGCAGAACAATGTGTCTTGCTTATGACTGGGTGTTATCACTAGGCATAAGTCAACTTTTGGTATAAGGACACTCTATAACCCACACCCCCTCAGGTACATATCACCACCACCAATAACATACCGTGGAAATAATGCTGACAAAGGCACGGAGTGTTAACGGCAGTATATAATCAAGTACGTTGATCTCCTTGCTGAAGCGGTTGATGATGCGTCCACTCGGATTGGTGTCGAAGAAACTCATGGGAAGACAAATGATATTTCGCAGGAGATTGTGGTGTAGCACATTTGCTGCCCGCAGCACACTAAACATCACCATCAAAAGACCCATAAACAAACAGAATGCTGCAAATTGAAGAAAATCCATCTCAGCAAAAGGAATAAATATCAGAGAAAGTATGCAAATGAATGTCCACTAGAATGTCTTGTGACTCAGTAGCACACTCAGCTCACATACTGAGTGTCTGTGGTTTGATCCCCAGCACGGGTGGAAACACTGGGCATGTTTCCTTACATCTGCTGCCAAAAATCCAGTTTTCAAATCATGCTGAGTGTTTTGCGATGTTTTTATATCAGAAATTTTTTTTGGGGGTGGGGTGGAGAGGTAAAAGTTCAGGTACCTTAGTCAAATGAAGCTTGTTACATATTATATTATGCATGAGCACCGTTATAGTATTATAATGGCAAAAAATTATTTTAGGATCAATATTCAGACTATTAACCCCTTAACTGTCCAAACGTAGATCTACGTTCTTATTGCTAGTGCTCCAAACGTAGATCAATGTTTTATTTTTCCTGTCTCCAAATTTGGGGTGATTGTCCTGAAATGCCTTGTCAGTATAGAATGGGTCTTAACACTTGGTGTGAGCAGTATTAAAAAAATCTGGGCCCACTTAGTACCTTGTGGGAGCACCAGTTCAATTGAGTATCAGACAGAGCAAAGAGCGTGGCAAACACCAGGGATTCACTATTGTCATGTCAAATTAACACTCCCCTTTTAGCCCCTAAATGGTCCAAATATATATACAGTAGACCATTATTTAGCACAGTAGCTACGTTCCTGAAAATGCCCTGTTAGGTAAAATCGTGTTAGATGAACTGAAGAACTTATGGGAAAAATAGGGCTACGTTCCTGGGAGCCCCCAAAAAGTCAAACAAATTTTTTTTAGGTCTCCACATCTTACAAAAATAAAAGTGAATATGTAGTTGTAGTTCATTACTGTGATGTATTATGTTGTTTTTACTGCTTAAGACTAGAAATATAACAGAAATAATACTATTGTTTACCTTAAATTGTAGGTGCTGGTGTTTGTGGATGATTGTGAAGAGAGTGTCGAGTTATGCTCTGGCCCTCCTGGGCTGAGGTGGCTGGTAGAGGTTCTGGTCGATGATTATACTGGAGTGTCTAACTTTAAGTCATTCAGTCAGTCAAGTCACTCAGTAAGTCAAATCATTCAGTAAGTTAGTCAAATCACTCAGTAAGTCAGTCAAGTCACTCAATAAGTCTGTCAAGTCATTCAGTAAGTCAGTCAAGTTACTCAGTAAGTCAAATCACTCAGTAAGTCAGTCAAGTCACTCAGTAAGTCAGTCAAGTCATTCAGTAAGTCAGTCAAGTCATTCAGTAAGTCAGTCAAGTCACTCAATAAGTCAGTCAAGTCACTCAGTAAATCAGTCAAGTCACTCAGTAAGTCAGTCAAGTCACTCGGTAAGTCGAATCACTCAGTAAGTCAGTCAAGTCACTCAGTAAGTCTGTCAAGTCATTCAGTAAGTCAATCAAGTTACTCAGTAATTCAGTCAAGTCACTCAGTAATTCAGTCAAGTCACTCAGTAATTCAGTCAAGTCACTCAGTAATTCAGTCAAGTCACTCAGTAAGTCAAGTCACTCAGTAAATCATTCAGTCAGGTCACTCAGTAAGTCAGTCAAGTCATTCAGTAAGTCAGTCAAGTCATTCAATAAGTCAGTCAAGTCACCCAGTAAGTCAGTCAAGTCACTCAGTAAGTCATTCAATCAGTCAAGTCACTCAGTAAGTCAATCACATCACTCAGTAAGTCAGTCACATCACTCAGTAAGTCAGTCAAGCCAATCAGTAAGTCAGTCAAGTCATTCAGTAAGTCAAATCACTCAGTAAGTCTGTCAAGTCACTCAATAAGTCTGCCAAGTCATTCAGTAAATCAGTCACTAATAATCAAGGAATTAGTGAAAATATCGATGATAACCCAGATGACCCTCAGTCCATCACCTCTGGGGTGGTCAGTGTGGCCATACCAGACCCTAGGCCAAGCACTTCTGGAGTGGCACCTCTGGAGTAGCGAGTGTTACCCACAGGCAACTTCGCAAGAGGAAACTATCATTTTCCCAGTGTTTTAGTAATAGTGAAAGTGATATAAGTAATGATGAGAGTGATTTTATGCCATTTGAGGATTCGTCTAGTGATAGTGAAGTTCATTATTCACCAGTGAAGCATACTTTTAGGCATCGTCGCCTACATTCAGGCAGTGTGCTACATGCAGTCCCCAAGGGTTGTGACAGGTTATGATCCAAAACCCCAGCCACTGATAGTGATAGTGATCATGAAAGTGAATATGCGGGGATGGAGGAAGTAGTGGTGGGTGGCATGGTGCCTGGACCACATGACGTGGTGGGTGGACAGACAAAGGACCACCCGGCACCCCCTCAACCATGTGCTGCCTCCACTCCCGTCCCTCCTCCTGCTCTCCCTCGCCTCATGCCACAGGTCCACCCAAGTCCTAATGGAAGGGGATTCCCCTTCTAAACACTAACACCATCCACACTCTCCCCTCCTCCCATCCCATCAATCATCACCAGATCTTCATTAAAGGTAAGTGCCAATTATTCCATTGTTATTGTTGTTATTGTAATTGTTTTATTGTATTAAACTTAATATTTCATGTGGTAAAATATTTTTTTTCATACTTTTAGGTGTCTTGCACGGATTAATTTAAATTCCATTATTTCTTATGGGGAAAATTGATTCGCTCTTTGATATTTTCGGTATTCGATGAGCTCTCAGTAACGGATTAATATCGAATACCGGGGGTCCACTGTATTTGCTTTTTGCAACAATAATACTTATGCCTCATGTCTATAAGCATAATATAAAAGCATACTGGTCCACAGATTGGCTAATTTGTACCCCAGTCTTCAGTGAAATCATCCCAGTGAACAGGTTTATCTTACTGTTACGTATGTTGCACTTCTTTGACAAAACCAGGCCTGACAGAAGTGACAGGTTATACAAGATTAGAAATGTTGTTATGTATCTGAAAGAAAAGTTCAACATGTACTTTCATCCATTCAAGAATCTTGTACTTGACGAATCTTTGATTTTGTTCAAAGGTAGACTGTCATTCAAACAGTATATACCGAGCAAGAGGAAACGCTTTGGTATAAAACTGTTTGTACTCTGTGACTGTGACAGTGGCCTGGTATTGGATATTGTTGTATACACGGGAAGTAAAACATTGAAAGATACCAGGATGTTATTGGGTATCTCAGGTGATGTAGTGAGAAGCATGATGGCACCTTATCTTGGTAAGGGGCAAACATTATATACCAATAACTGGTACACACCTAGGTAGTAGGTTGGTAGACAGCAACCGCCCAGGGAGGTACTACCGTCCTGCCAAGTGAGTGTAAAATGGAAACCTGTGATTGTTTTACATGATGGTAGGATTGCTGGTGTCCATTTTTCTGTCTCATAAACATGCTTCAGGTATGTCTTGCTACTTCTACTTACACTTAGGTCACACTACACATACATGTAAAAGCATATATATACACACCCCTCTGGGTTTCCTTCTATTTTTCTTACTAGTTCTTGTTCTTGTTTATTTCCTCTTACCTCCATGGGGAAGTGGAACATAATTCTTCCTCCGTAAGCCATGCGTGTCGTAAGAGGCGACTAAAATGCCAGGAGCAAGGGGCTAGTAACCCCATCTCCTGTATATATTACTAAATTCAAAAGGAGAAACTTTCGTTTTTCCTTTTTCTGTCACCCCGCCTCAGTGGGATATGGCCAGTTTCTTGAAAGAAGAAGAAGAGGAACTGGTACACAAGCCCTTTACTCAGTGATTTCTTGCGAATGAACAAGACAGATGTGTGTGGCACAGTGCGTTCTAATCATAAATATATGCCCAGGTTCAACGCAGGTGCTCATGGTGATGAAGTGCAGGTGTTTACTGCCAATGACATCATGGCATTACTGTGGCATGACAAACAAGATGTCACTGTTATGGGACTATGGGACTCAACACACATTGATGTATATAAGTAACAGTTACTCTGGAATACCTAATTATATTGAATTGATGGGAACTCAGCTCTAAATGTCATAAGAGCAGATCACTCTTATGGCTGTAAGGCAGCAGTGTCAAGCCTGTTTTTTCTCAATATAATAGGTTATACTATAGACACACACACACACACAATTTAAATAAGTAGTTTATAAAGTTGTATTTCTTTTATAAAAGTAAAATTAAGGTGTGGTAGAATTATGGTAACTAGAGAATTGTGTTTGGCAACAGTCTTCTGTTTTTTGGTGGGTGTGGGAGGAGCTTAGCTAGGCTCCTCCCTCTCCATCTCTCTTTTTGTTGACTTCAAGCTCGTAGGACCTTTGGGTCCTTCTTTCTATTTTTTTTGGGCATTGTGTGTGCCCCCAGGGGTGAGTTTTATAACTTAAGTTGTGGCCACCATACCCAGGGTGACTAAAGTGTGTCAAAACACTGGTTAGTCCAGAGATAGTCCAGAAGAAAGAAAGGCAATTTGTCCAGATCAACCATGTGGGCTGCCTTTGAAGAGCAGCTAAGGGGTATGCAGGCTTATGTTTTGAAAATGTGAGTGCTGTAATTGTACATTCTGTATATATCTATTTAGAATACAGTGAACCTCTGGTTCACGTCATTAATACGTTCCTGAGAGCTCATCGTAAAGCAAAATTATCGAAAAGCGAATCAATTTTCCCCATAAGAAATAATGGAAATCAAATTAATCCGTGCAAGACACCCAAAAGTATGAAAGAAAAACTTTTACCACATGAAATATTAACCCTTTGACTGTCGCGGTCGTATATGTACGTCATAGGAGATACCGTGTTTGACGTATCTAAAAGCATAAATTCTAGCGGCTTCAAATCAAGCAGGAGAAAGCTGGTAGGCCCACATGTGAGAGAATGGGTCTCCATGGTCAGTGTGCACCATATAAAAAAAATCGGGGAGCCAGTGGTGCATTGTGGGAATACCATTTCAGTCGTCCTTTTTCAGCATGTCTAGCGGTAAGAAATATGTGACTTCCCTGCAAATCTGGGACTCTTCTCTTCCCAAGTGATGCTCTAACACAGATGGAAGTGTCAATGAAGATCAATT